GAAAGTGGCTTCTCTCAGTCGCATCTTGAGTTTGAAATTCTCTCCTTGTTAAACTCTAGATGCAGAAAGAGAAACGAGGCTTTGAACAAATGCTGGAAATGAAGCATTTGGTTGATGATCATGATGAGGTCAATCATTAGGTGGATGACAACCAGTTCGAGTTTAGAACTTAGAAGAGGTATAGGAGTTTTTTATAACAAACAATTTAAGAAGATTTTTTTTTTTTACCATTTTGTATCCTAATCGACTTTTAACTTTTGCAGTGACTTTGGTTAGCCTTTCTTATTCTGACTGTGCTCTGAAGCTTGACCCCGCCTTAAAATTCTTTAAGGTACATCCTCCTTCTAACTGCTTTTCAAAACTTTAAAGCCTTTCGTTTTGTCAAACGCTAGACATTCTTCTTAGTGTTTTGGTTTTATGCTTTCATATTAAACCCCCAAAATGATCATAGCCAGACAATAATCTAATAGTGTTCTGTCATATTCTTTTTGGGAACATTATCCCGTTGCTGCATCTAGGAAACTTATGCCATCACCCTAACAAGATTGTATGGGTTGGTAGTGAATGTCTAAGTAAGCATGTTAGGGGATGGAAAATAAAAGACCATACGGCTTAATATTTCAGTCTGAACACAAAATTTTCTATAATCTGTTTTCGATTTTAAAGATGGATATGGATTATAACGACCAAAAAAGTCTTAAGACAAAAGACTACAAATCAAAAACAGATTCCTTACCCACGGCTTACAAGTCTTTAGAGGAAGAGAAAGACAAAAACTTTGACATGTCGGTTGAAATGAGTCATGAATGGAAAATGTCCTTATAGAAAGGCTATGGATGGTGAATGAGAACCATTTGAATGGGAAAATTACGAAAACCCTCGGCTTACACAAGTCATTAGCTAAAAGACTTTTAAGACAGGTCAGTTTAAAGACTTAAGGATGGGAAATGTCCTAAGAAAATATGGCTTAATAGTCTTAACACAAGACCTTTACTACCCACGGCTTTCTATGTTCTGTTTTCATTTTAAAGATGGATGGATTATAACGACCAACAAAGTCTTAAGACAAAAGACTACAAGATGAAAACAGATTCCTTACTCTTTACCCACGGCTTACAAGTCTTTCTAGAGAAAGACACATACCAAAACCAAGCATGTCAGTTATGAATGAAAAATGTCCTTTAGACAAAAGCTGTGGATGGTGACCGAGATCCATTTGATTGGTAAAGAAGATTACAACTGAGGGCTTAATGGTCAGTCTTAACACAAGACTCTACTACCCACGGCTTTCTATGTTCTGTTTTCGGTTTTAAAGATGGATGGGTTATAACAATCAACAAAGTCTTAAGACAAAAGACTACAAATCGAAAACAGATTCCTTACTCTTTACCAACGGCTTTCAAGTCTTTAGTCTTAAGACAAAGACTTAGACCCAAAATGACTTGATGGATGGAAAATAAAGCACACACCACCGGCTTAGAGTAGTCTTTCAGAAAAAAGACTATGTATGAGCTAGCTTTCAACTTGTTGAATGGATATAACATAACTACCCACGGCTTTCTCTAACTTGTTTTTGATTAAACAAAAATGGATGGAGTATAACGACCAACACAGTCTTAAGACATAAGACTACAAATCGAAAACAGCCTTTACTCTTTACCCACGGCTTAAAAAAGTCATTAGCTAAAGACTTTAAAGACACGCATGGTTAAAAAAAGACTTACGGCTTACGGATGGGGGAAAAAAAAGAAGCAAACGGCTTATAGTCGTTAGGAAAAAGGCTACATGCTTTTTTTTTTCTCAATTCGTTGGATTGGAATAAACATCCAAGAGTTGAAATAAAATCTTAAGGCAAAGACTCAACGGCTTTCCAAAATATATGGATGGATGGATGGATGAGAGTATAACGACAAACAATTTAAGAAAGCCTTGCACTCACTACCCACGGCTTAGGAAAGGTCTTTAGACAAAGACTACATGTCCGCTCTTCACCTTTTTGGATGGAGAATATACAACCAGCAACTGAAATAAGTCTCGAGGCAAAGACTGAAAGCATGTTATCGCCAATGGCATTAGAAAAGATTTGAATTCGTTTTAGTTTTAGATTTTCTGGATGGAAATAACGACCAGAGGGGACTGAGAACCATTTGGATGCTGAAAATGAAGTCTAGGCTATGAACTGAGAATTATTATTGATCTGTAACAGCAAGGCTTAAACCTAGAAAAGGACAAGGGTTGCTTTTGGATGGGTAGAACAACGACCAATAGCTGAAAAAGGTCTTAAGACAAAAGACTTGGACCCAAAATGAATGGAAAACAAAATCACCACCAACGGCTTAGAGAATGTCTTTAAGACAAAAGACTATAGGCTATAGCTGCTTTCAACTTGTTGGATGGATATTAACGACCATTGGTTGAATTAAATCTTAAGACAACCTATGAAACGAGAATAATTAGTGACAACATGTCAGCTTTTCAATTCGTTGGATGGAAAAAGCGACCAACATTTGAAATAGTTTTAAAGCAAAGACTGAGAACGAAAACATAGAAGTTGATTTACGACTTGCTGGACGACCAACAAGGATTAAATATGAATCAAAGACAGAATCCTTAATTCACCACATCCTTCTTTCATATGTTGGATGGAAAATAGACCAACGGCTGAAAAAGGCTTGTCGGAAGGAACCTATATGATCATCAAGACAAAGACTGAAAGAGAAACGAAGTCTTTGTTTTTACCATTGAAAGACAAAAGACTATATGGGTTTGTGTTCGGCTTGTTGGATGGAACTTATGACTACTGAAAGAAGTCCTAAGACAAATCAATGACAGAATATATTCTATACCACAAGATTTGTTGGATGGAACAACGACCAACAACTTCAAAATACTACGAATCAGAATGTGATCCTTTAATATACCAGATACTGGCCTGAACTGATTCATGATCTGGGAACTGAGCATCTCTATGAAAGAAAGACTAACTAATTCTGACTTTTTGCAGGTTTGTGCTTTGGGAGGTGATAAATTTTTTTGAGAGTCTGTAGCAGACTTCTGTAACAGGTATATGCTTTTCAAACATCTTTGTAATTAGTTGAGTCTCATGTAGTCTATATTTTGAAGGTTTGTGAGACTTCTGCAGTTTATAGCTGTAATTTCCTCAAACTCTCAACAAATGAAATGACATTCCTGTAATCTTCTAATTAATTTTAGTTGTCTTACGAGCGTCCTACATTTGCATTTTGCATCATACATCATGCATATGTCCTTACAACTCTGCATTATGCATCATGTCCTTACAATCTTATAGTTAAATTTGAATGTCTGAGAATGTTGGCATTCTGGATCATCATTCATGTACTTACGATTACTGCATTAAATTTTATAAGTGGTACCCATTGACTTGAGTCTTTTATATACAGATATATCCAAAAGTATGTTGTTTATGGTACTAAGGTATGTCCTTATCTCTTAGTATGGATCTTGGAAATCTATTAAATCACTGTTGTAATATTTTAGAATGTTCAATAGATCTTTCTTGTTTTTTTTTTTTAATAACTCTTCTAATGCTCAATATCAAAAATAAAATAGAAAGCTATCATATTTGATCTCTGCATTTTATGATCACCTCCCTAGGCATGCTGCATAGGTGCTCTAGTTTTCTCAATTCTTTAGATATGCTATATGCTAAATCTATTCTGTGTCTTTCTGTTTCGGTTTTAGGAACCGTATTTTTTCTTTAGCAGAAAAAAAACCATATTTTCTTATGAAGTGGTTAAATTCGGAAGTTCTTAGCTCTCTAGTAGAGATTTAAGTAGAAATGCTCTTTGCTTTGAACCCATGGGTTTGCTTCACTATTGGTCTCTTATGCTTTCATATTATTATATAAACTCTTTTGATTTGAATTGACTCTATGAATAGTCTATGATTTGAACTCTATAATTTAAATTTAGTAGTTGTCTTTGGTCTACGTTTTTAACTTACAACTAGATCATAACCCGCCCGACTGGGCGGGTATTTGTTTTTATGGTATATATAAACATTTCAAAAATTACAATCTAATGGTTCCAATTTGACTAAGTAATAGTACATTATCTAAACATTGTATTTCATCACTGTATTGTGTAACAGCGGCGTCGCAAAATATTGTGACCCGTAAACATTTTATTAATAGTTTATAAATTTTTTTTTTTTTTGCTAAATTTGGTGCAAAGTTATATACATTAAACAATTTATTCAAATTTTAAGTTAATTTTTTAATGAAGAATTGAAAGGCTAGTATATTACTGTTAAAAATTTATAACAATAGTCAATATAAATTATATAAATAAAATATATTTTATTCTTGATTTATTTTAAATACATTTAAAACATGAATACATATATGTATAAATAATTTTCAGAAATAAAATAATATCAATGATAGAAACCAAAAACAATAATAATGATACTTTGGGCCGCATTAATCTTTAGTTTAATAAATAAGCCCATTAGATTTGTAGACTATCCTTGTTTCCAATCATTACAATTTTAAATACCTATTCATGTTTCCAAACACTAATTTTTTGTACTTCAGCTTTAATAGTATAGATTTGATTTTAAGTGTTTGTGGTCGTTGTGGATATGTTATTATGTTCTATATCTTGTTTTTGCATGCTCAATTTTATTAGTTAGTCATAATCTAAGTTTTTATTTAAATCATCCACCTGAATCCATATGCTTTGTAATGAACTTACATTTTGATTTATTGGTTTGTGGTCCTCGTGGATATGTTTTTATTAAATCATTCACTTGAATCGATATGCTTTGCAATGAACTAACACGACTTAAACTTTTAGTACAAAGTGATGTGATACGGTTTTATTGGTTACGGCACCTTTTAAGCCACATTTTGATAGTATCATTTGTTTCATGATCTTTGCTCTGACTCTGTGGTTTGTGAATGGTATCTATAATATGAACTCCGTAATTTGAATAAGTGGCCGTGTTATGGTCCATGTTATTAGCTCACTATCTGATTTCAAGCCCTGATCCAAAAACTTACTCATTAAGCTCACACTTATATAGATAGAGTGTTCCATCACTCATTGGTAAAGCAGGACGACGCTGTAATTATCATCCATTGTCACTGAAACTAGAAGCCACAAACTTTGCCAACAGAAAGAGCCAACATTACAAAAATAATTTATAATGAATTGATATATATATATATATATATATATATATATATATATATATATATATATATATATATATATTGTTGTAGATTTAACCCTTTAGTAATTTAATAATTTCATTTGCTCTGGACTCGATCCCTTTGAGATACTCAATCAAGATTCGCTGCTGGTATGAACCTCCTTCCTGGTACCATATCAACATTAAACCGATTAAGTGTGGCACTTTTTGAAACCCTGGATCAAAAAGGCGGTTATCATTTGGTTTAAACCCAAATCAAATCCGGTTAAGAGTTCAGTTCACATTGTTTTTTTTTTTTTTGGTTATGTTGCTCTGTGTAGTAGAGAGAGAGACATTACATAGAAAAAGTTTCTGTTACTTACAGTTCGAATTAGAGTGCGCTCAATTCGTTTCTTGATAACAGCAGATAGCTCATCAGGCGTCACGTCTCCTTTCCCGAGTGTTAACCCTTCTAAGAATAGCTTGTTCCATTGTTCCTCAGGAGCTGAAAAAACATAAACCAAATGTGAATGAACTTCTTTGCGTCGACTACATAGAAAATAGGGTTGAAGAAGAGACCTTTGATCAGAGTTTCCAGCAAATGCTCTGCCTTTACGACTTCGTTCCCTGTGACAACAACCGGGAGATACAAATATGATGAGATTTTGTTTGTGGATAATGGAAGCCTTAGATAGTAAACGAGTGACTTTTCAAAACTGAGCAATGTGTGTACCTTTCTTAGCGTAGCTACGCTTGGAAAGAATGGTAGCAGCATAGAGCTGTAGAACTTTTTGCAGCATAGCCGCAAGCCCGGGTTTGTCTTTATCTTCTTTTGCCTGAAAACAACCTTCAGCCTCTCAAACTATCAATCATAAAAGTACATCTAAACACTATAAATGAAATACATTTTTTTCTTTAGAACACGGACTCCATTTAAAAATAGAATTTACTATCTTTAGACGTGAAAACAACAATCAATAGCAGTTTACCTGCCGTAGCTGGGCACTAACTTCTGAAAGAAACCCTTCGTCTAATTGTCCTTCTTTTTCCCGTTGTATAATTTCCTGTTAATACATTGATATACAATAAACAAAAAGTGTATATGTTGAACATGTCCTGGTCAAAGGAAAAAGTGAAATACCTTTTCCATTTGATTGATGGCATCAGGATCTCTGGGAGGCCATGTAATTTCTTCAACTCCTTCCACAACGGGTCTTAATATCCCTTTCAGAACATCAGTAGACGACTCTATCTTCTCCTACATGGATACAATTAACTCTCAGTCACGTCAACAATGGTCATCAAAACAAAACATGGATATGTAAGGCAATGGAAATCCCAAAAAGAAAAGAAAGAGAAGAAGAAAAACCCGAGTCTTATTGACAACGCAGTCAACAATGGTCATCACAGTTGCAGCTAACTCCTCATAGTCCTTCTGCAACAGACAGACATTAGCTTGAAAAATCTGGTTGATCATTGAAATAAATAATAATGAGAAGAATAGAAATGGCTTGCCTTGTCATCATCTGATTTGCAAGTATCCGACCTGGCAGCTAGTCTAATCCAAAAAACTTCATCAAAAGCAAGGATGTTTTCAACAACTAGCTTTTCAAGCTGTTCAAAAGAAGCAGACAAAAAACTCAAATCACTCATTTTCTTGAGTTCAAGGACATGAAAATGCAGACTAACTTCTCTAGGGTTAGCGTCTTTAAGAGCATCAATCATTCGATCGAGTTCAACAGTCTTCTTAAAAGCTCCTTCTGCAGCTCCTCCCTTGACCGCTGCACACATCAAATGTCTCCTGCTTTAAAAGATGCCAATCATTACCTCTAACTGCATTTAGTTACACGGAATAATCATAGCTCTTCTCTACTGATAATATAAACAACCGAAATTCAAAAACTATCATAATCAATCTCACCTTGGCTTCAAATCCACTCCAGGAAACGGAGATACCTTCCACATCATCGAAGATACTAAATCCCTAGAACTCAATCTCCAACGCGATTCACTCTGCTTGAAACAAAAACGGAGAAATAATAAATTCGAATTTCTCTATAATATTGGATGAAGTGATTAACAGAAAGATCACCTGCGCGCGTTGATGATGATGATGAGGATAATGAGAATCGCAAGAGGATAAGCATTGAAGAGAAGATGATATTGCCGCCATTGAAGTGAAGTGAAGTGAAGAAGCTCCCACAGCCCTGCCCTGGTAATTCTCTCACCACCGTTCAAACTCTCTCGGTTACTAAATCCTCCTCCTCGGCCACAGACTATACACGTACACGTGTTTTCATTGTTTTGGGCTCACGTTATCTCTTATCCATTTCCAGGCCCAAACATTTTACTCTTTCAAATCGATTAAGCCTATTTTTTTTTTCCCCAGATTAAGCCTATATTTTTATCTTACTAAATAACTAGATTCGGAAAAGTAATTTCTTTGTTGTATGGCGATGTTCTTATAATCGTTGAAGATTGGCAGATTCTTTTACTATATTTTTTGAAAAAATCAATATATTGGATTTTTTCTCAAAGAATATCTATAGATCCTATTTGGAATCTGGTCAATGTTATACAACAAAGAAATCTACGAAGAAGAATTTGGTTTTTCATCAAAAAGATGATAATCAAATGGAGATGGTGTTACATAAGAAGAAAGAAGATAGTTCAGAAGAAAAGTTCTTCAGATCTTGTTCTTTGTGCTTCAATGTTTTACAATTGTAGTTTTGCATTTAAATGTAATTCTGTAGTTATACTCTTATTGTAACTTTACACTATATTTGAATAAATAGTTGTTAAAAAAAAAAACTAGATTCGGAAAAGTCGGATATTTTTTGTTTTAATTTTTTTTTTGAGAATTTAATTTTGGAATTTGTGTTTTTTTTTAAATCATTTGACTGACCTATTGATATAGATTTGGTCCATCTATTTTAATACAGTTATTAAAATATTTTATTAATTAATCATTTAGAAGAATATTTTACATAAATATGATTAAAACACACAAATATAAAATTAAATTTCAAAAAAAAAATGTAAAAAAAATATATCCACGTTTTCAAGGGTGAGTCAAAACCTAGTAATTGTATTAAAATAGATGGACGAAACCTATATCGGTAGGTCATGACTGCAAAATTATGATTGCAAAAAGACATAAATAGCAAAATAAAATTCTCAAAAAAAATATTAAAACAAAAAATATATCTACCCTTCCAAGGATGAATCAGAATCTAATAAACCTTTAAAATTAGAGTCTAATTTGATAGAATATATATATATATATATATATATATATATATATATATATATATATATATATATATATATATATATATATATATTCCAACATTTTGGTTGCTATCTGCGTGTCCTTAAAAAATAGAAATTTATTTGTTATGGAACTTCCTTGTTGTGTCGTGTTATTTAAAATAAGATTATAGGTTAAGCAGTTATAATTATATACACATATAAGCAGTTATATATAGCTTCCATTTTTTTAAGTTGGACTCAACTATTATTAATTGGACATATTTCTAATTTCATAGTATTGATTACAAAAATCAATAGACAACCAAGATGATATAACCAAAAGCAAATTCTGGGAAGTTATTGAATCAGATGTGGGTATCATGGTTAAAAGATTATTTGCGTCAAGTAAGATGGAAAATTTTATCAATCATACAAATTTTATCAATCATACAAAGACTCCAGAACATACATTCAAAGTAATGGGTAAGGCCATTGAACAATAGGCCAAGATCATGGATCGGTTTGATCATGGTTTTGGGGCGGTTTTGTAATGGTTATATCCTATCTCTTCTTTGTCTATTTAAATTACTTTCCCTTCATTTTTTATTCTATATTTGCATGAGGAACAGTGTGGTTTGGTCTTGGAATTGGCCTGGTAAAGACCCAAGGTCATGTTCAAATAAGACCAAACATGAACATGGTTCATGGCCGGACTGCCATGATCGATTCCAATACGATCTGAATGGATTTGGTGGATTCCAAGTATGGAAATCTGATTTTCGTGATTTATAACAATTATTGACATATTTTAGTTAATTTTTGGAGCATGTTTGAAGGATGTCATTTTTGGACCAGAGATCTATGGAACAACACAAGCATTGAGCTGGGTGTGGTTATTCAAGGAAGGTCGTGTATTATCTGATCTTGGGAAAAAAATGGATGACATGATCCATGGATGATGGATCAAGGTGTCTGATCTGATGGATCAACGGATGCACCTATTGTAAGAGCAAGATTGATTGTATTTTGGTGTTTTAAGTATTTTCTACTGATTTGAATATTTACTTGTGGTTATTTGTATATATCTTCAAGTATTTTGAACATTTTCAAACAAAAAAAAGGTCTATGTTTTGTATATTTATATAGATACTTAATCTAAATCTAAAAATAATAAGCATACTAGATTTTGACCCGCGCAACCGCGCGGGTATTTGTTTAGTTAGTTATATAAACATTTTGTTTTCACTTGTAAATTGATATATATTATAGTAATCACATATTTATGATATGTATAGTAAATTTTTTTCAAACATAATAATATTATATAATAAGTGTTTTAATTAAATAGATTGTTTCAAATTTTCTATATTATATATGTTTTTCAAACATGTGTTTGTTTCTTCTTCTATATTTTATTGTTTGTTAGATTAGTATTTCATTTTAGATAAAGTAATATAAATAGAGCTTGATTAGATATTAGTATACTTTAATTTGCAAAGATAAAATAAACTTCGAAGAATTTTTTTCTAAAAACTAAACTTATAGCTTCATAAATTAATATTATAAAGAATTTTTTAAACAATTTCTTTTTAAAACAGTATAATTGTAAAAATTTACATCAAAATAAATTTATCTTATATATATAGCGTGTAAATTTTGTTAGGGTATATAAATATTTCATATTACTAATCTGTGATTTTTGTTAATATATTGTGGATGCATTTAACTATTATTGACATATTTCCTTATAAATAATAAAAGATTCTTAAACGTATATCTATTGACATATTTTGCATGACTAAGTTGGAAGGTGTGGAGTAATTTACCAAAATCAAATTGTTAAGCGTATCTTTGTTATTATAGATATGATTTTTCATAAAATATAATAATGATAAGAGTATTAGAGAGTTAATGTCACATAACTTTCTAGTAATAGTCCATTTTTTAAAAAATCACACATGAAGTCAAGTCATGACTTCTGTTTTAATATATAAGATATATATATATATATATATATATTTATGTTTGATTTATATATTTTTGGATATCTCGGATCAAGTTTGGTGTTGGTCGTCCAAATACCATCTTAATTTTCTTTTCTTTTTCACACGTAGATGAAATACTCTAAAAAAAATAATCTATAACATTATTTGAGAAGTAAATTTGCTTAGTTGTCAACTTCTCCATGATTTTAGGTTATTTTACTTATTTTCATATTTTAATAATGTATTATATAATAAAAACGCATTTATGTTAATAATATTATATTTTTAGAAAATATGTTAATTCTTTGTATTAGATTGTTATCTTAAAAATATATTTTTCAATTATTATTTTAGAAGTAAATTTGCTTAGTTGTCAACTTCTCCATGGTTTTAGGTTATTTTACTTATTTTCATGTTTTAATAATGTATTATATAATAAAAACGAATTTATGTTAATAATATTATATTTTTAGAAAATATGTTAATTCTTTTGTATTAGATTGTTAGCTTAAAAATATATTTTTCAATTATTATTTTAGAAGTAAATTTGCTTAGTTGTCAACTTCTCCATGATTTTAGGTTATTTTACTTATTTTCATGTTTTAATAATGTATTATATAATAAAAACGAATTTATGTTAATAATATTATATTTTTAGAAAAT